CCCCCCCCCCCCCCCCCCCCAGAATCTCTTTCATCGTATTCAGCTTTAGCACTTTCCGTAGGAAGTCGTGGATTTTCGCGGTTGTCCTTTTTGATTTTACTTTGTAATTCCCATTTGTCAAAACGGCGTTTTAGGGAAAGGAGGAAATTTGGGATTTTGTTATTCTGGTATAAGACCGTTTTTCCTTTTCATCGCTGAGGAAATGGATAGATGATACTTTAAATCCGTAATTTACGCATATCTACTTTGAATAGCATGATGCACGTGTGTGGGGTAATTTACATCCCGGTACGTTCGTTTGTGAATGAATCTGCTGTCCCATACTTAGTTACTAATGGTAGATCTGGCTTGATCCCTTGCTTAATTAGGAATAACCTGATAGTTAAGTTAACTAACCAGGAAAATCCCGACGACGGCACTAATACTGAATAGGTAACGCACTAGTCCTATAGTAGCCTAGCGTCCATCCCACTTAGTCATCCGCGTCTTTGTTTTCCGGGGCTTTCCCCTCCTCGGGATAGAGCAGTCTTGTTCATTCCAACATCACACAAAATCTCATCCACAAACCTCATCCTCGATTTCTCTACCCCATCCGCTCCTCCCACTCCAACTCCCTCCCGTAACCAAGACTCATCTTCACAATCAGTGAATTGGATTCCTTATCTTCTAGTTACCTTCACTCAGTCGCTGTGTCACTGCCACCCCTCTGCTGTTTCTGCCTCTTCGCGTCACTTCTGTCTCTTCACTCGCCATCAGGCTCCATCCCATCTTCCTCATCTTTAACCGCCAACCACTGCCATATCAACTCTCCCATCATCCATCTAATATCCGAGGGACCTTGCGCTGCTGTGATTAGAGACAAACACACAAGCACCATTCTCTACCCGTAGTCTCATCTCTTCAGTGTTTCTTCCCAAAGTCAACCGTCATGGCCGACAAGCTTGACAAGTCTCTTGACGACATCCTCAGCTCCAGGCGTGCTGGCCGTCGTGGCTCCCAGCGTCGTCGCGACTCTAGGTCCTCGAGGCCTGCGCACGCTGCTCCCGTAGGTGGGGTCAGAAAATCCACAAGGCATGCGAAATCATCCTCCAAGTCTATCCCCACCGGGCCAGCTCTAGGTCTGGGTGAGAGCAAGATTATCGTGAGCGGCTTGGTAAGTTTCTATTTTTCCTTTATATAACAACAGTATCACAGTCATCATCATCGTTAGCATGAATAACTATAAAAGCAAAAACAACCATATACTAACTTGTGCCAGCCCTCCGATGTCAATGAAGCGAATATCAAGGTATGTTGATAGAGGGCATCTTTCTGGGTTTCCATCGCCGTCTCCGTTTGAGATACATGCTTCGATGCACGAACGAACTCGTCATACCTTTTTTTTCCCATATCGCATTCTGCCTGTTTCGTGGCATGCATACCTCTGTTGTTATTTTGCAACATGCACGACAGATGGCACTCTCGCAGCTTTTGCTCGCCCCCTCATTGGCCTGATGCAAAGCGTAGCAAGCTAAGCCCTGTCATCATCGTCATCATCGCGCTTCTCCTGTGTCTAGCGTGTCTGTCTGCCATCTCTGGGAGCTACACGTAGACAACAGGACGCAGACTGTGTTATGAAGGTTGGCTTGGGAGAGATCCAATTGTATACACGTAACTGTGGAACGCGTTGATATATATCTTCTTGGAGGGGATGGTAATCAGCGAGCGCAGAAGTGATTGAGCAACACAGCACAAACAGTCTAGCTACCGCTCATCTCGATATATTCCGCCTGCAACCAGAGACACAGTTCTCTTGGGAAAAACATGCGTCGATTGAGGGCGCCCAGAATATCCATGCCTTGCTCCTCGCTTATGGTTCTGGCATATCATCACAGTATTGCCCGCCATACCCTACATGGCTTGTCCTGTTGATCCTGTTGACAAACTGCAACCTGTGCACAACCATGGAAAAGGCATTTAAAGAAGCCTATTCTTATCACGCACGCGATTCACTGTTGTCTTGCTTGCTTCTGCCCAATAGATTTGTTGCTTGACGGGCAGCGGTGGCCCCCATATCTTGTCTTACGGAACCCTGTTTAGACAGTGTTGCTGAATAAAGGGGGGCTTGATATGTTTGATTGGGGAATCAGTGCTTTCGTTTTGGTTCGGTTTTCTTTGGGACGGCGTGGAACGTGCTCTGGCCGGATTGCGGTGTGAAGTTTGGTGACAGGGGGATTACAGCGGTAATCTAACACATCACCCGTGCACGAGCCACTACTGTCGAATTGGGACCCGATACTGACTACTAACCCTGTGTTGTCACTCTCTGTGCTCGCTGATCCGTTTCACCTTGACATCGCTAATGGCGGGTTTAATGGGGCGGTTTCAATTTTCCGTTCTTCAAATTTCGGTCATGCATACAACTCATCGTCTAATGCCGCAAATTTAAATACTAATGGGTTTTTAACGTCATATTAGGAATATTTCCACAAATCTGCTGGACCTGTGAAGAAGGTCATGCTCACCTACAACCAGAACGGCACTAGTCGCGGCATTGCCGCCATTACCTTCGTTCGCCCCGACACCGCAGCAAAAGCAGCAAAGGAGCTGAATGGACTTCTTATCGACAAACGACCAATCAAGGTACGGAATAAAAGAACTCAATAGAGATCTAATATACGCGCATGCTAACGTTACTTGGATAGATTGAGGTCGTTCTTGATGCTTCTCGTGCTCCCACTGTCCCTGCTGTGAAGCCGCTTACAGAGCGTGTCGCGTAAGTTGTTAACTGTAAACCCATTGTTTCCATTTGCCAACTAACAAAAGTAATAGTCAACCAAAACCCCAGCCCAAACCTGTCTCAGCGACGAAGGGCAGCGCGGCTTCGAAGCGTGGACGTCCTCGTCGTGGACGGAATGCTGGACGCCCAAAGCCCAAGACTGTTGCGGAACTCGATGCTGAGATGGAAGATTATTTCCCTGCCAACAATGCAGCCCCCGCTGCGATTAATGGAACCGCACAGCCAGCCGCGGCCGGTGGCGAAGATTTGGGAATGGATGAGATTTCTGTATGTTGATAAATGGCTGCTTTTCATATACATCCAGCTAATAAAATATCGCAGTAAACTGGTCATACCGAAACGATCTCGCTGGATAGGGCTTCGAAGGGAAAAGTGCAAAATTCCTTGTGTAGCCATTTGTTTGTAATTTTAACCGCGTCTCCATTTATTCTTTATTGCCATCCTTACGTCTTGGTGGTGCGTTCCACAAATCGGACATATTCGAGATTACGGTTCATACGGGCTCTAGCACGCCAGTCGTCATAAGTAACCAGATACCAAATATCGATCTCTTGTCGACCCTTTGAAATTGCGATTATTATTGCCTTTCTGCTGGGTATCGGATTGTCTCCGCAAGACTCTTTTCTCCTCCTTTTATTTAACTCAAATTTGTGGAACACCAAAGGCAGCGTGTTTCGTGGCAGCGAGTGGCAGCCCCTTCTAAACCAACTCAATGTGGGTGTCATTTTCTACATTTGGGAATTTCGGGATGAATTCTGAGGAGGGGTTGGGCTGGGTTTCGTGTTGTTTCATATCTTATTTTCCTGTGATGTTTTTTCCACCCCTAGTTTCTTGATTTTCTGTGACTAAATTGTGATTTAAACCTGAAGTTGCGAATTGAATTATCACATATTTATTTGTATGACCCCTTTAGCGTTCTCCATACTTCATCCTCTCTTTTAGTCCTTTCGATTCCTTTCTGCGCAACGTAACGTAAAAACAGGAAATAATATCACGACCATAAAGATGGCTTCAGCCGACGCTTCCTAGCAGGATGGAGATATTCAATAGCTCTTCCTAGAGTGTGAAGTTATCATGCTTGCTAGGCTTCAACAACTATTAAACACCACCTACCACCCCACCCAGGCACAGATAGGCAGGAGTGCCAGTGCAAACCTCACTGTCATTTTCAAATTGCTCACAACACGCCCATACCGACCGAAAATAAAAAATCGCAATTAAGGCAGATACTGGACGTGTAATGAAATGTCAGCCCCTGGAAGCGACGGCGGCGTTGGAGTGTGGGGTGGGATAGTCTCCTCGTTATGATGGCACACCCACATGTGAAATAATGGATCAATAATATGCATGTATGTGGTATGGTGTTGTCTATTCACTTCTATCTATCTACATTTCCGTCTTCATCCCCTTATTCCCTTCTCATCCGCCAACAAATTAAACGCATGCAAGTGTATATACACTGAAGTCCACACCAGACGCCCTCCTTCCTTTTAACTACGTACAATACATAACTACATCAAAGAAAATTCCAAATACAAAAACCAAACAACAAATCAAGATATATACGCGTTGTAAAACAGGCATCATGTTGGGCAGCTGTTGAGAGAAATGACTGCATCTGACACAGCCCTCCCCCAAGATATGCTGAATATTACCCCCCCCCCCCTATTACTATTATTCCCCCCATTTAGTAACCTGATACAGCGTCCGCATGGCATGGCTGAACAATCAGAGGCATCAGCCTTATATCTATCAGCCCCGATTCACACATTTCATCCACTGTTAGGAACTCCGGCTCTGACAAGCTCCACCTATCCCCCCCTCTGCCTATACCGACGTAACCTTCAACACACACACACACACACACACACACACAACCGCATGACATACCCAATCCCAGTGTCCACGGGCATCTCCCATATTACCCAACTACAGACTTGCAAAAATTAAGTCGGCAATCCCCGGGATAACTACCTACCTAGGTATCTAGGAACGGGGTAGGAAAAAGAAAAATCACCAAGAATTACGTCGTTTCCATATTCCTCCACCGGCGCAGTTCTTCCTGTCTGGAAATATCCATTAACGACCAGATTCCATAGAGGGTGTATCCATATTTCCCCCGGCCATAACATTTCCAAATCCCAAGTCCCAGAATCCTACAATCCCCACATTCCGTGGCTCAGATCTTAAACCCCAAGCACCAATTGCCCAAAACCCCTAAACGCGCCCCTCCTCCCCACCACCCTTTCCCCGGGCAAACCCGCTGATTCCAAATCCCGACCCCATTGCGCCCGAACAGTGAACGCAAGAAATAAGCCACCGACCATTGGAACTACTGCTGACGCGGAAAGGAAATTCAGAACCAAAACCAAGAAGACAAGAGAAGACTTTTTCATTTGTAGTATGTGGATGATTTTGAATTGTATTCTGATAACAGATATAAATAGATAGGCTACCTAACGATCCTACTAAACTAAATTACTAACTAGGTTCTAGCTAAATTAACCCGTACGTACGAAGTTATGTACGTATAACCATTGCAAATAATATATGACCACTGCAAAATGCGATGCAGTAATGCAACCTTGCAATCCCAAAATGTAATCCCAAGCAAGGATAAGGAAAAAGACAAAAGATGACTCCAGATGATCTCCCTCAGCCCTTTGCGGAGCCTCAAACGAGAGATGATCTAACAGATCCAAGAGAGGTGGGCATACTTAAGAAAAAAAAATCTTGAAAAAAGAAAAGAAAAGAAATAGAAATAAAAAATAACTAAACAGGCCATTATTAATTGATTTCGCCAGCGCAGCTGCGGTATCAGAGAACCTAAACAAGAATTAAGCAATAGTAAGAATGATTAGTAAAGGGGGGAAATGTAAAAGACAAAGAAACAGAATACAGAAAACGCTGCCAAAACTGGTGAGGGTATAATGCAAGATAACCGAGAATAATAGAAAATGAGGCGCTGATGGAATAAGGACAAGAAACAAGATGGGTGCTTTCCCGAACCCTGTGATGTTATGCTTTGCTGTGTGCTGGATTATTAATAATAATAAAAAAAAAAAAAAAAAAAAAAAAAAAACCATCAAACCAAAATGCCAATGGGTAACATCGTGCAAAGAGACCAAAAGAGACGAAGAAACAACAAAACACTCCAGAACCCACGCAGGTAAAGGGAGGGTGAAAAGGGTGAGAGATGAATCAAAATAGCAGCCTGGTGAGGTAACTATGCCCAGCAGTACATATGGAGTACCTTATTCCATATAGCAAGCAAACGAGGCAGATACAGGTAAGACGACAACAACTCTGCATCAAGAGGCGGTGAGGAAGAACAGGGCGTGGGGTTCCGACAGGCAGAAATCCATCCAACACCCACCACACCCCAACAACCAGCTCGGTCGGGCACCAAAGGGAGAAGCGCACCCCATCACCGCGCTCAGCCAACCAACCAACCAGCCAACCAGCAAACCAGCCAACCACTCTGCGTCCTGCTGTCTGCTTCTTTAATCCGAAGAAACGTGTTCAGATGACAAACCCCAAAATGAGACACCACGCCGCAAAACATGAAATTTAGGTAAAGCTCTTCATACAGCATGCTGACCTGCCCTTGTCGGCTTTATGAAGCGGTGTAAAAGCGTTTAACCGGAATGTCGTATCCGGCGCCCCGTATTGCGGACGTTCAACCGACCGCTGTACCCCAGCTGCAACAGAAATGCAATAGCTGGCTGACAACCAAAAACTTTTTTTTTTTTTAAAAAAAAAAAAAAAAAAAAAAAAAAAAACCCGTTTTCTCTTTAGTGTTGTCACATCACGTCACGTGAAGTTGTTGGCATAATATGTGAATAACATCCAAATAGGCGGTGAACAGCATGTAAGAGGCACAGAATGATTTCGTCAGTCCAAGGAAATCGGGGTCGTGTCGGGCTAGTCTTGAGCTTGAGTGCTCAGATTAATGCGTCAAAGCCCTTCGCTCGCAACTCAGCCCGAGAAATTCTCTTGCTGGGCTGTGCGGAACCCTTCTTTATCTTTATCGCATGTCGCCCTGGCGAAAAGGAATTGGGGAGAAACCCAAAGCACTGCTTTGAGTTCAATGTGTGTATGTGTGTTATGTGTGGGTCTGGTGTATTTTGTTGGCGGCGTAAAAGATGTAAAAAAAATAGATGCGTGTGAAAGAAAATAGTGCACATCCCACACACTCAACTAGAAGAGGACTTTGGAGATGGCGAAGACGAGGATACTGTTCTCCCCTTCTTCTCGGTAACCGCGCGTCGCTTTCTTCGCTTTCCGCCCGATTGCTCAGCAGCAAGTATTCGGGCGGCTCGTTGTGCTTGTTGTGCGCGAAGTTGTGCATGAGCGTTGGCTAAATACTGTCGTCGTCGCTCCTCTACTTCTGCTGCCCCGTTGATCATGCTAATTTGCTCCTCCGTCGTCAACTCTGCTGCAAATACTGGCTGGTACGAAACAGATTCATCCTCCAGGGCTGACTCGGATCCAGATGACGAAGATGGCAGTAGAAAGAGATCCTCGTCTGACAGGTAGGCACTGGCGCAGGAGTCAGAATCAGAAAAGAGCGAGGACCGGTTGGGCCAAGAGGGAAAAGCACATGAAGTGTTTCCACCCAACGTCATGGAGAAGGAGGTTTTGCGAGGAGCAATGTCGAGGAGAGAGTCGTTGGGAGAAGGTGGAGGGGGTGGTGGAGGAAGAGAGGAAGGTGAGGTAGATGGCGAGGAGAGTGTGCTCTTGTTGAAGCCGAATCCGTACCGCATTTTGCTGATGGGGGAAGTGTGTGGTTTGTATCGATGTTCATAGAAAAGATTATTGCTGTAGTAGTGAGGAGAAGATGAGATGACTTCTGCTATAAGAAGATTTTGCTTGTATGTGTGGATGTTGGCGGTATACAGAAAGGAGAGGTTATGAAGATGTGGATAAATGAACAGTCTGGGGGAAGGTTTATATAAAACCTGGGGAGTCTGTGCAAAAAGGGGGCTATTCAGTATATTCAGGGTGCAAATTGAGGCGATCGAGACAATCAACCCAAACGGGCGGGAATGCTGTATTGATATATAAACCTTATTTGGACGGCAACAGGCAAATAACAAACAAAAAAACCGTTGCAGCGGGATAAATAAGAGACAAGAGTTTAAAAATATGACAGCTCTTTAGTCCGGTTGGCTGATTTTGCTTTTTCTTTCTTTCTTCCTTTGCTCTTTTTGGTTTGATTTTGCTTTTTCCTTGGTGGAAACCTTAAGTAAAGAGTCAAGGGGGACGACCAGGGTGGGTGAGGGATGTTAATTTCGCGGATAAGATCTGGGAGGCGTCGATTGCAGTGAGGTACCCCAGCACGCTTCCATGGAACGGTCCGCTGACGGTCAGGCAAATTACAACCTGACTCAGGAAGTGATTAGCGGTTGGACGGTGGGCTTTGGGGGGAAGCCGGGGTCCCACGGCTAGTTGCTGGTGCTGGCTGGCGTTGCAAACCGAAATTAGGCGGCACAGGGCTTTGCTAACTTCACTGGACAACCAGGATGTGGCTGTTCCTATTCGCTCACAAACAAGGTTTGCAGTCCCCGGTCAGAAGGACGGTGAAGCAGAAAATAGGAAGACTCGAAGTTCTCGTGTCTTGTTTGTTTGATTAGCTGGAGAGCGTCACGGGTGCAACACACAAATCGAAATGCAGGATCGCGAGATATCTGATATCTCTCCCGTGGATGGCTCGCTATCAGATGCCACAGGGTTGGGATAAATGTAATAATTCGTTGCGAATTATTACTCATATAGGGAGGGTATAAGCCTCAGCTGTCTTGTCGCAAGTGACTCAGACCCCTTCCAAGTTACACTGGAAGAAATCACAATGTGGGCTACGTTCGATGAGAGTGCTGGTGATTTTGCGGTGACAAAAATGCAGAGGAGCGACTCGATGCTTTGCCGTAGACACGCACTCTTAGCAATAACAAGATGGATGTCCTGCACATGAACCTGTAATCTGTAGTGGTGCCCCCTTCTAGACAAAACACCTCACCTGGCAGGACTGCCAACTACGGCCAGATTACGGTGCGAATTTTTACGTGGGTAGCCGCGGGAGACCTGCGACTGGAGATTTGCAGCTTGTCTGTGGGGGGATAAGTTGGTGCAGTTCAGCTAAAGCTTGGGGATCGGGCGTTGGGAGAATATTATTTTATTGGCAAGGCAGGTCTTGGGGTTGGGTTGGCGGACAAGAGCTGCTGCGATTCGAGAGATTTTAGTTTCGGGCAGGATGTGAAAAAAATGGATAAATAATCAGACAGATCGACAAGTCTCGAAACTGGAAAAAAAATCAAAAAGAGATAAAAGAAATAAAACTGTTCTAGACAGACGCGTGTTTGTCGTCGAAGATGTGATTGTGACAGGTTTTTTTTTTTTTTCTTTTCTTTTTTTCTTTCTTTTTTCTTTTCTTTTCTTCTTCTTCTTGTTCTTTCTTGCTGTTGCCGCCGGGGTCTTGGATCGGGGATCTTATTTTATGGTTGTGTTTGTTGATATGCAGTCCGGGATAAAATTTGGGTTGGATGTTCTGTATCTCAGTTCTTCTTTCTCTGCGGGCGATAAACAATCAACCACAATAGCAGAGGAAGGAGGCAGGAGGATCCAGAGTCGAGAGTGAGTTTGGTTAATATATAAGATGTGAAGTTGTGTTGCCCTTTTGTGGGAACTGCACAGTATATTCCTTCGCGGAGATGGAGACGGTCGGTTCTATTGGCGTGGTCTCCGTTCAGGATAGGATTACCTCTTCGTAACCGTAAATGTGGCGCGTCTAGGGTAAATTTAAAAAAATAAAAATAAAAATATAAAAATATAAATCAAAATAAAAGCCGAGAAATCACAAGCCGCAAAAAATAGTCGATCTGGCAAACAATTTGAAAACAGAGAAATATATCTGCAGCCAGCGGGTCGGGGTTGGTCTTTCGGTTGCAGATTTACGTCGTTCATGTGCTGTATCAAGTTGGAATTAAATATCAACAAGACAAAAAAAGCCAAATTGTACGAGTCTCCGATTCGTTTTTGCAGGCAGGGGACCTCTTCAGGTCTTTGATTTTTCCAGTGTTTTGTTTCCCCTCCGTCGAGTCCGTATTCGACCACCCCCACGCTTCGTGGTTGAGCGGTTGAGCGGCAGAAGAAGACCGGAAAAAGCAACGAGATTCTGTGACCTGCCAGCGACTAGGATAGGAAGATGATAAATCACCACCTGGAACGTGGGGAAGAACGAGACGATTGTTTGTGAGCTAAAGTGATGGTTCTTGATTCGAAGGCTCATTAGGGAACGGACTCGGACTGGTCGTTTCGGGTTGATTGTTGAAAATGTTTCTATCCGTCTTCGTTCCTTGATGTGTGACATTAATATAACTTCGAACTTCGGGATGTTGGTATGATGATTATTGCCGGATGATATATATAGAAATAGTATAAGAAGTGGACAATAAAATAACCATCCAACGGTTCTGTCCTCCAAGCGGCCCACCTGTCACTTATATCTGTTTCCCACCTTTGACTCGCTGAACTCCTTCCGTTGCTGGTCCCGAGATACGCATTCTGATGATGATTCATCCTCTCCGTGAAGACTCCCCTTAGAACTTTAGCCTCGGAACAGGCACGAGTCAAGATGCCTCAGCCAGTAGTGAGCGGGTGTAGATACCAGGTCAACGGAGCTTGTAAAACTCAAGGTCCCGTCCGGCTCCATCGTGTAAGGTTCCTAGTTTGAAGCCGCAAGAGGTTTAAAAAGCCTCCTGAAGGGGGCCATCACCACCACACACTGTCGAGTGTCGAGTCGAGACACATAGAGAACTCCGCCAGAAAGCTGGCGCATCTGCACCAGAAAACACCAAAGCGAACTAAAGCGTACCAAAACACACCAAAAAGCAACCACGACTTTTCGTTAGTATCGACGAACTGGGGCATCCTCAATTTCCTTCAGGCTTCGCCTCCTCGGGGGGAACTTGAGCCCCAAGCGTACGGATCTTACCCACTTGGAGGCAAAAATAGTGGGGATTAACTCGCTTCTAAATTGTTCTTAGCGCGTGTTCCTTTCCTTTTCCCCGACAAACGACAAACCGGACTGAGGTTAGAAGAGTAGAGCGTGCAAGATCACAACTGAAGTGGTAAAATACACGTACAGCTGCCGTACAGAGCACACAAACACGGGAAAGGGGTGCTTGCGCTCTGCAGATGGACTCATAAGATAGACGACTTTTGCCTGGGCTAAGAGGTCAGTGTTTTGTGTGTCCGTGTCCATGTGTATATATACATGTATGTGCGTATGTATATCCTTCAAGAGCTCTTACAAAGTGTGGTAAGGCGTGGTTCAGGAATAACTTAGAAAACAACTACACCACATTACCCCATATCCCATCCATCAATGTTTGTTGAAGTAGAGTGAGTCGAGCCGAAAAAGCCGAGATTCACTCGGTTACGCCGCAGTGGAATAGCCGTTACCAGTCCCTGAGATAATTTGTCTTGGTCCGTATATCGTATACATATTAATCCCGTATTCTTCCGTATTATTCTAGCCGAGTTCTAGAAGGGAGACCGCGGGCGAGTAAGCCCAATCAGAAGACAGAGCGAGGAGAAACTCTCAGCGTGCGGATGAACGCTGCATGCATACTACCGCCAAGGGGGGTTGGCCGGGATCCTGGGCCCAGAAGCCCAGGTTTGTCGCTCTGCATCTCAGCCGAGGCTAACTACGGATTCGATGGCTGCTGCCAGTGACCTTTGTGGGCAGGGGTAAACAAGGAAAAAGGGGGAGGGGTGAAGGATATGTACCTGTTGTATACCTTGATAATATACACCTTTATACTTAGCTCACCGATGATGGTTTGCAAAACAGGACGGAGTAAGGAGCCGAGGAATGTGGACGACATTCTCAGGCACACATTATTATTCTTGGAATGCAACCGCCATTCAGGGAACCCAGGAAATGAACAGCTGTGATGGACGAATCTCGAGGTGTCCCCGTTGATCGAGTTTACCCGCATTTCACCGCGGTCTTCTCTGCAAAATCCGCCTGGCCCCGGCTAATCGTCGCGTAAGTTTTCTCTAGACTGGAGGGTTCCCGTCTCTCTGTCTGGGAGTCCTCAGTCCAACAGCATCTGAAGATCAGACTCTCAGACCCCCCTCTCAGTCTCCCTCAAACAAACTACTTCTGAGTTCCCTCACGCCTTCACACTCTCAAACTGCTACATGGACGTCCTTGTCCCGCACTATCATCATCCATTGTCCCCAAGAGTCCCAGATCCACCCCCCAGACCATCTGTAGTCTAGAAGACGCAATTGCATACACATGCAGTGTCCTAAACACCCTGTTTCCCAAGTTCTCGGGCCTGCTAATTAACAGTGCTAAAATAACATACTAAAATCTCTCCCTTGCAATTTAGCCTACTGGAAGTCTTGATTTAGGCCTGAATAGGTAAATAAGCTATCTCCCTCCTATCCTCATTCCCAACCAACCGGAAGCCATTCCCTGGTCGATTGGGGTCAGACTATGGCACTATGCTGCCTATCCCAGCAACTAGCGCCCACAACCTTGAAATTATCCTACGGTTCAGGGGGTGAGAGCTGCAACATCCCAACCTTAAAACTCCTCAAACTTGTTACTCCACACGGCACGGCAGGGTAACTAACGAAGAAAGCAGAAGAAAGAAGAAAAGAGAGAATACTCCATTTACTAAATTGGGCTAAGAAGATCCCAAGTCGCAGCCACTTCCCGTCATCAAGGAAACCCCTTGAAAAAAAATCTTCAACATGTAGAAAATCAAGCAGGTGATAGCCGGATAGGTTCCATAGAAAAAACGTAGGGGGACCCCACTGCTCGACAGAGCTATTGTTTACCTGGGACCTGTTGATTCCTCGTCACCTATGATCTTCATTAGCTGAGCCTGTTGATCTCAGAGTTTACATGCTTCGTATTCCTATTCTGCTTAGCCCTTTTGCCTTTCATGCTCTGCCCTCTTTAGAGTCCCTTCGTTTTCCGGAGTTAACAAGGCCGTTAGGGTTGTTGGAGAACCATGAAGTTACGACGAACTCAGTGTCACAACACGTATGAATGAGAAAACGAGAAAAGGTTAGTCTAAAACCTGCTGACCAGGCTAAGGAACCCAGGGCTTTGGGTGTGGGATATGGGGAACGGGGAACGGGGAAGGGGGATAGGGTGTCTGAACTGCGCGTCCTCCTGCGTCCTCCAAAGACACTTGAAGGAACTAAGGACAGGGGCTTGACGCCGGCAAGACCATGTCTGATCTAATTTTCCCAGGTTTCTGGTTGTACACGGTCTCAACTTTTACGTTGGAACTTGGGAATATAACTTAGCCCTGAACTGCGGAAGGATCTGTCAGATATCAAATGTGAGATGTGAGATGTGAGGATGTGAGATATCCCTCAACCCCAGCCTTCAGGCTTGAACTTCAATCCGATGGTCAGCCACGTAAATAACCATCACATTATCTTCAATTCGCCTAATCGAAAATGCCCCAATAATCTATCAATAATTCCAACAATCGCAACAATCCGTAGATCCAACCGCATACAACTTCCTCGGCATAAGCACGAATATATGCAGCAGATCCCCGTCAAAACTCGATTTCAACTTATTATTCACTAGACTCCACTTGCTCCGCAGATATTCGGTAGCACACTAACAAAGGATAACCCGCTAACCACCGACCTGGAACGCGCCGTCCCGCCGGAAAGCAGGGGTTCAGCACTTCCGCATGGCCTAGCTAAAATGTGTAGGTCAAAACACTTCAGAAGCCCCTATTATTCATTGTCTGTTCTCCCATGTCCATCAATAATTAGGAAAATGACCCCGCTAACCCTTGAGATACCAATCGACATGGATATGTACATCTCAACCACCACTATGTATGTGACAAATGACCCCCACGGGCAGCTTCATGGTATGCTCGAGGTGAGCTTCTGTGGATGGAGAACAAGAAATGACTCTATCTTCGGGAATCTTGCATCATGGGATGGGATTGCAAGAGTTTGAATCGTTAAGAGGTCCGCTTTCATGGGTGCATCACAAGGCTGGCACGAGAAGTGTCCATGGGTGCCTCCCGAATGTGGCTTCGTGGGAATCGTATCCAGCATTATGGTCCATTATGCTGGATGTCCACCCCACGCGATGCCTGAAGATGGGAGGAGTTTCTGGAGTCTGTAGAGGATTATCCCTGAACTCAGAATGGGAATTTGGGGGATCCACTTCAGCCCGTGAATATCCTCGTGGCTGGGATTTCTGGCAAATATCACACCCATTTTCTATGATAGTCGTGATTATCCAAAAACAACAGAAAAAAAAAAAAAAAAAAAAAAAAAAAAACAATAATATACGAGAACGAATACTCTAAAACCATCGCGTGATTTCCCCAATAATTAGGTCAGTCCGGCTTTGGGGCAGAAACGGAGCGGCGGCAACTGTGCCGAAGTAGTCACTTTTGGGTTCACCATTCCGGGGCACTTGGGCGATGTTTTAGACTCATGATTCGGGCCATCGCCAAATAGTGGCCCATTGTGGGGGGGGGGTTTTCATATCCTGCCAAGGGCTGGTGGCAAGGGCAGCCGGCTTACGACTTAAATGTCTCCCAGCGAGTGAAGAGCAGGTGTATGGTCGTCATGGCTAAAACGAAGACCTGACAAAAACTGAAACTGCACAAAGAAACTGCCCCTGGCTGCTACTCTGTGAGGGGTTGAATATGAGAATTGTCATCGGTTGGCATCTGATCCCTCCTCCTTCAACAGCAGTGAGACAGATTGTAACACGGGCTTCTCTTTATGTCCTAAGCCACCTTACATTGATCTGTCAATTTTCCATATCGACGCTGAGCATTGCTCACTGGACTTTCCCCTCAACCCACATTCATTCCAAGCAGATCCTTCATTGGTCATATAAATCTCTCCTCTTTGGAACACCCTCTAAAATCACTAGTAACTTATGACAGCGAATTGGGAGTGGTCTTTATTAAACCTGGGCCAACCGCTACGCGCCCACTTTTCCCTTAGCCGTTTCCATCTGGTTCCTTTGAGGGAGTAAATGCGCACAACCATACCCCCGTTATTCCCCGCAAGGTCCGACGTTAAGCCGAGACGGGCGAAATAAGAATGAAATCCTCAAGAGGTTCTGTTTTCCAAAATTTCTATAATTAGTTATCATTGCTGTGATTTAATAATGCTATGTTACTTGGAGAAGCTAAGAAGGGGATTTCAGCATCGTTCAGGCCAATGGCCGACATTCTTTCTCCTATCAAACGCCTCAGCTTGTGAAAGCGCCCATCAACACTGTCAAGGCTCGCCCTGTGACCATCGCACTCATCTATTGTTATGTCCACATAGTTACCCGTTTGCCCCGAAAAACCGCCTGTCACTACCCGTGCAAGTAAGGGGTTGATTGACGGATCAGATATCACGGTACTCCATTCAGAACCTCGGCTGGTTCCAGCATCACAGTCTTCGCGGCGAAGATCAAACAGTGGGCACACACATTTCATCAATGTCAACCAGCAACGTCTAAGGGAGCGTATGCCGCTGGCCGCCTCCGCAGTTATCCCGCATCAGGCGGGCATCTGAATGTTTCTTCTTTTCTCTTTCACTTGCTTCACGCTCCAAGAAAATCCACAACTACGGACATGAATGGAGATACAAGCACTTCTGAACGAGGATATTCTTTGGACAGAATATTATAAATAAATAAATAAATAAATAAATAAATAAAAAATGGTTGTCACTAGTTTTGGCTCCTTGTTATCTCAAACAACAGCGACCGCCAGAGAGATATTCCATGATCTTCCCGATTCCCGATACCCCGCTTCTAGTTCCGCGGCTTTGCATGTGGGTTGGAGCTGCATGTCAGAGATTTTTCTGCAAGGATGTGTTTTCTTTTCACAGTCGGTGAAGTCACCGCTTTTCCATGAAGTGGGTGTATTCATTGAATACGAAATTTTGTGAATCGGAAGGGAAATAATAAAATAAAATAAAAATTTAAACCTGCTCTCCCGGAACTCCAGCATCCCGGCCTACCTAGATCGTCATTGTTGCACTTATGCCTCGTCCCCAATTCAAAAAGCGCACTGAAATATTTCCGAGAAAACGGGGCTCGGTGGAGTTGCTAATCTCGGGCACTGCTTCTCTTCTCACGTCAAGTTGTTTTCCTTCTCGATTTCAAGGTGGAAACCATGTAGTTACCACGCAATTTTCACTTTTCACATCAAGATCTTCATTATCAGGATGTACATCCATGCTACTTCCACTAGACGCCAGTACCACCCTGAAACCTATTTCTGGTATACGACAGGGTTCTTCTCGCTTGCTAAGTGCATGTCACGGTGATATCTCATGTCAGCAGTCCGCGTGTAAAGACCATCTGCTACTTGCGGTTGGCTGAGATCTCGAAGCTGGAACGGGAAAATTGATTCCAGAACTGTGGAAGACCGTAACTTCTGCTGCAGAGAGTCTATAATTGTTATTCTTTATTGAGGAGTCTTTCACTTCGTGGGATATTGGCGGGGTCTCTTAAAATAATTTAAATGGAAGGGAAGGGAGATATCTGTTGCATTATATAACTATCCGCTATAAACATAGATGTTTACTACGGAGGAAGATCTAATATAACTGGAAAACCCTATGAGTTTCCTTTCTCTCCACTAGGTGCACCCAGCTTGTGATTGTGTAATAAATTAACGGGATTTTCTCGTATCACGGTGTCTCTCGATGGCTACCTATCCTACAGATGAAACCCGGAAAACCTTCCGGGTCTTCAGTTGAAAACTTTATACGAGGTCACTCCGAAGATCAAGTTTCCAATAAGGGAGAGTTACCTAAGAACAGGTATCTAACTAACTAGTTCATAAAAGCTGACGATGGTATTAGAAGCTGGAAAAGCAGTTGTGCTTGGATATCTGGTCGTGATAACTACATGAAGCAGCATGTTTTAGGGCTATGCAATACTAAAATAGATAGTTAACTACAATGTTCGTAAAATTTTATGCTCTCACGGGCGGGGTTAGCTAACTCGAGCAACCAACCCAGCAGACCGAGGAATGCAAGTTAACGGTGGACTTTTTCCTAACCAAAATTCCATGCTTTTTAGAAGCAACATAAATACCTCTCACAAGTCGATGAAATCGACTATTCTTACATCAACCTGGTAACTCATAAGCAACGTTGGAACAGTCTCATCCGACTGATGTTGTGTGTTGCGCCAACGTCACATACTTCGACTCGACGTGATCTAGAATTTCATGCGACCATGCACTTTGACGATTTAATTACAGCAAAATTAAAAATGAACCTGCAAAACAACGATTAGTCTTGAGCCAGTTTCTTTCAATCATAAACCTTTGTCCCCAACCTAGCTTCCGGGTTGATGCCTGTGAACGCTCTCCTTTGGATAGTTGTGTACGCTCGTTCCTGACACTCTGGAATAAAAACCCGCTCAGCTTATGAAGCAAAAAGAATAGGAGAAATGAGGAGAATTATTAATTCCATACCAAGGAGGAAATTGTCATAGGGTCACATTGTCATTTCCTTGTCTTTAGCGGCGCCCCACGATACAAGTTCTATTGAGTCCCGGCAACCAGGTGTCCGCAAGCGACATCACCAAAGTTATAGGCCTCTCTTTGCAGAAGAAAACCGCTCTCGATCTTGGGGCGGTTGAATCCCGAATGAGAGGCCGAATGAAGAGACCGAAGGTTTAATTGATGACTGTTTACCTTCTTGCGTTTCTTTGTTAGTTAACTATTTACTGGCAATTGTTCTTTATTAATTAACTTCCCTTTAACTGATAGTGTACCATCAAGATCCCAGCTCAACGACTCCGCGTGACGTAGGCAGACTCCAGACCTCCCAGCGCCCCAGAAACAGTGGGCGGTAGTAGAGGCCAGGAGGAACGAATGCCCTGCAAGCGACTCCGTTCGCCTCTCAATAACTTATAAGGGAGCTTATCAGCTCTTCTCCAGCCAACCTCCACATATACATATAATGTGTCTTCTGTATACATATATGCACATGTATATATTTAACTATATATTTAATGTATATACATGCATGATACCCGTCGATCATGACGTACACAAGCTCGGAGCGGGGAGACCTCTACCGTAGAGGATCCTCCATTGATGCAGCAGTACACGGCATTCTTAGCATGCTAGGTTGGTGCACTTAGGTTTATCCGAAACGTCGAACCTCTAATATCGCCAGACCACACACCCGTTCCAGTCCGTCGGGTACCTGAACCGGATTTTCAAGCCTTCT